GTTCAGCAGACAATGTCTAAGGGGGCTGTGAAAGATGACTGTGATCAATCAAAAGTGTATGAATACCTGCTTATAGTTCAAAGGGGTATGCACCTCCATCTGAAATTTTTTAGGGGTCTGCAAATGATAAAAGTTTGAAAACCACTGACCTAAGACATAGGGGCTCAGCACCAGCCCTCACTAAGCCTTCAATCTGAGAGTGGTTGGACTGTAGTTTATGGCTGTGTGTGGTCTCTGAGTTGGTGACTATTACCCTGTCATATTTTGTTCTTCTCTGGAAGATGTACAAAGTCCTTATCACCTCATCAGGATACTGTGAGCAAAAAATTTACTTGGGAATGTTTGGTACTTGGATGGGGAGCCCTCCCCTTGGGGTGTCGTGGAGTGGCACTGGTCATTGTGTGCATGACAGTAGTCACCTTTTGGCCATGAAGTCTTTTTCTGTGGCTGTGCTTCCCAGAACCATTGGACTGAGGGACCCACATCAAAATTTCTTGTTCATCACCATGTAAAGGTCCAAGGGACTGGTGTTGTGAACCACTGAACATGGCCTCATGGACCACAGTGTAGGATACATCATTCTACAATGTTTTTCTGCAGGCTCGTGAGCCTCCCTATCCTGCCCAAACTTCAGCTTGAGCGACTCGCTTCTGCCTATTGTAATGTGCCTGGTAGCTCTACAAATGCAGTAGTGTTCGTTCTCTGCTGCTGTGGGGTGTTGAGCATTATTGAACAATGGTGACTACAGGTCCAGTGAGAGGTAAAGACAGAGAGAGGGGAGGGGGAGAGATAATGTGTGCCTGTTTCTCTGTAACTATTAAATCATTTTGAAATTCCTCCAGAAGAAAGCTTTAAAGATGCAGATTAAGTCTCTCCTCTCCAAATGTTTTAATTGTTATTTAATTATTAAAAAAATATTGCTGATACTTGTGATTTGTGTCCAACTTTTGTTACTTATGTTGGTAGGACAGGTCATGTGTTGTGCCGTCCTTCCCCCCCCTTGTCTCTGATGTCAAGCCCTGTGCTGTGACTTGTGCTAGAAGGGCAGCTCATGCAAAGATTGAGTCACATCTTTGTTACTCCTAACTGAGATCTTCTTGAGTTGGAGAGTGGAAATGATTCACAGTGGAGAAGTTTTGCATTAACCGTGTTACTTACAGGAATGTTTTTCATTGATTCAGTAACAGTACAGTTTCTCCAATCCAGGTTCCCCAGCCTTCTCTCTCTGGGCTTGAGAGCCCTGCCTCCTTCAGATGGTCACTTTCCTCCATTCTGTCCAACAGTCCCTCTCCTGAGAACATGGCCAGTGGGAGGAACAAGGGAGGGCTGGCTGGCATTAACCCTCTCTGTCCTGGGGACCTTGCAGCTGTTCCAGGTTTAAGGCAGACAAGTGCTCTGTGCACCAGTGCACTGAATGGGTTAACTTAATCACAGCTCTGGTAAAGAGAAGCCACTATCATGAAGTTCTGTGCTACCTCTAGTTTCCTCTGTCATTTTTCTGTACGGAGCAAATTCAAATGTCCTTAGTCTTTTGCACTGGCAGGATACCTGATTATATGCAAAGGAGCCACTGTGGCCTGGAAGATCATAGTTCAAGTTAATCATCTGCTTGTCCAGGCACAATATTGCTCTACCCATGCTGAATCTAAATTCCTGATCTGGACCATCATTAAGAAGAGTTTACACCTTTAGAAACACAACAGAACAGAGTTACAGGGAGGCAGGATGGCCTCCTGGTTTAGGAACTAACTTGGATTTAATGCCCTGCTGGAATATAGACTTCCTGTTTGACCTGGGCTGTATGCGGGGAGGGGCAGGGGAGGGATTAGATGCATCTCTGAGTACTGCTGTTCAAACTCTGCTCTCCTTGGTTAACACTTTTTCCGTGCCACTGAATAAAAAAATATGAATTATTGTTAATAGAGCAGCAATGCACAATGAAAAGGAAATTAGATGTTTAGAAACTGACAGTTAATGCACAGATATTTGTTTTAAGGAGGGTGGTGGTGGGAGTTGGGAGGTTGTAAACCTGAAAGGTGACTTAAGCCCCCTCTGCACGTCCAGGTGAAGGCATACCCAGCGATCTAATGTGTGTTCCACACAGTTGCACCTCCTGTCATCCCACATGCGTGGCAGGAGGTGGGACTGTGCAACTGGGAGCCCTCTCAGCTGAGGGCCTCCCAATGCAGGGGCACCCCACACACCCCTGGTCCGCAATCTCCCAGACTTGGGATGCATGAAACCTCCATGCCTGTGGGACTGCGACTGCTGTGACTCAGCTGGGTCTCGGCGCGCAGTGTCCACAGCTGCGGGACTCTGGGTCCCAGTGTTGCTGAGACTGAGTCAGCAGCTGCTGGGGTTGAGAGTCTCCTTAGCTTATGGGGCTCCCAGCCACAGGGGAGACCCTGGTACACAGGCAAATTAAAGCTTGAAGCAACCAGCTATAAAATTAGTGCATGTTGTTGAGGTCTAACTTTATAGTGAGTTGAAGCTTTTTATGGTGGGATAACTACTTTGCATGTGTAGCTGGTCTTAAGGTAATTGAACAATTAACCAGTTAATTATTTGATACCTGTAGCATGTAGAGGGGGCATCAGTACTAGTGACCAACAAATTAGACATGAGTGCAACAGGATGTAGCAAAATGTAAAGCTAATGTAGCTTGGACTGCAGATGAGGCATCACAACCCCATCCTGAAAGGTAATAGTCTCAGTCTGTGGTTCTGCGATTGACGGCTATGAGGCAATAAGCTTGGGGCAAGGGTGGAGAGGAAGTGTCTTATATTGGAGCAAGAGGAATGCAATTGAAGGGGAAAATGTTTGCTGAGTATAATAAAATCTCACCATTTAGAAGTTTTAATTAGGCTCCTTTGTCCTATGTTAGCTATTCCCCTATGTCTGTGGATGTTTCAAGACCTATTAGATTATGCAGAGGTTGGGAGGGGAGAGGGTCTGGATAACTGCCTAGGTTTTTCCTTCTTCCTTTGATACTATTAGCGCTTCATCAACATGTAATTATTTGTTTTCTCTTTCCCCTTCCCAGAGTTGCTGATCACAATGGGGGATTCCGGCATGGATCCAACTGTGTCTCCGCCTGAGAGCACTGCACAGGAGGCTTCTTTCTTGAGCATGACTGACATGTTCCTCATCTCTCTTATCATTGGCCTCTTTTCTTACTGGTTTTTCTTCCGCAAGAAGAAGGAGGAAGTCCCTGAATTCACCAAAATCCAGCAAACGTAAGTGACTGCCCTTTAAATCTTTATCTGAGATAAATTCCTTCAGGTCTCTCCAACCTTTCTGGTTCCTTAAAACTTGGATGTTAATATGAGATGAGCATTTGAAATCTGTCCCTTTCCATAGGCTGGCCTACATCTCTGACACCTGAGGTTGCCAGAAGGAGAAAAGGCAGTTTCAGGAGCTGCAGTAAAGTATTTAAGCGATACACCCAGTGCTTGCCACCAGTAACAGTATTTTGCAGGCCAGGAAAGTTGTCTGTGTTGGAGCCAGCCATTAAACATGGCTTCTGTTATCAGTAGATGTCAAGGAGATTGCTTTGATTTCTGCCAACCCAGAAAATGAGACACCAGAAGTTCAAGGGGTTTCCTGAGTGACAGTGCAGATTCAATATACTCCACGTCCCAGGGCAGTGGAAGGGCCTCAGATTTGCCTGGCTATGACTGTCCTTAGAGGTGTGGAGATTGATGGCTTCAGTGGGATCTTCCTCTGATGAACTGTAATACAGGTCCCTGCAGTGGATGAATGCTTTCTGATAGGGATGGAACAAAATAAAAAAAATCAAGGATTACTTACTCCTCTCTTTGGGTGACAAAGCAGTTTACGTGGTGGTTTGGCTTGGTAGGTTTACAGCGTGAGTTCTTTCTGCAGGTGACCCCTGTCCTGAGACCTGAAGATAGAGGTTGGTTAACTAAACATCCAAGAGCCAAATTGTAACAGAACCCATGCCCAAAGGGCAGCCATCACACGCTCCCTGGTAGCAACTTGACTCCAGTACCGTGCTAATTTAAAGTACCCTCCCTTTATTCTCTCCTGCCACACCTTGATCTTATTAATGAAACTTGAAAATGGAGGCTGCCCCAAGGATCTTGGAGTAAGCCACAACCTATCCTCTCTACTCATGGATCCCTCTTGGACCCTGTTGCTCATAAGCCTTCCCACTATGTAGGCCCTCTTGGCCTGTACGTGCCCCCAAGGGTACCCATTGCCTTGAGGGCTAATCACAGCCTCTGTACCACCCATGCCTAACAGGTGTTTCAAGCTGTCACTTAGGTGGCCACCTTAGATCTCCATTCCCTTGTTGGGGCCTCAGTCTTCCCAGCTTCTGCCCCGCTACTCTGGCTGGTCCCTTTGGCCTGGACCCACTATACCAGGTCTGGTTCCTTGAGCTCCAGCTTGTCTTGCCCTCTTGGGCTCTTATCTCCTCCCCTTTCTGGGCTGTGGGCTCTCTAGCCCTGTTTCCACTCCTCTTGGTCTCATGAGCTCCCTTGCCTCAAGCCCTGCCCCTCTCAGGCTTTTAACTCTCTTCCTGTGATCCAGCTCCTGCCCCCTGGCAGGGCTTCAGGCAGCCATGTGCCCCTCGGGCACCACTGATACCTCCTCTCACCCCTTTTTAGTCTCACCCAATCTGCCTGTCACAACTCAAGCATGATTCATTAGCACACTGGCTGCAGCTTAGTTCTCTAAGCCTGTTGGTTCTCTAAGGCAATCGCCATCCATAATGGTTCCACTCCCCTGCCAGCCCTTAGCCCTCCACTTGCAGCTTCTTGGTATAGCAGGATCTCATTCAGTCTCTCAGCAGCAAGCATCTTCCTGCAGAGCTCTTTTCCTGTTAGCCTCCAGGGCCGGACTGTTTGGTTTTAGTTTGGCTCTGACTCTGGCTTTTATGTCCCAGAGTCCTGCCCCTTTCTGGTCTTGTGACTCCCTGGTCAGTCTGCAGGTGTTCCCTTGGCTTGGCTTACCAGCCCTCAGGATGGCCAAGACCAGCAGAGCTAGTGCTGCAGTCATTCTCTTGGTTCCTCAGGCTACTTTCTTATTGTACTATTGCTGTGCTCGCAATAGGCACTTCTCATTTAAAGGACCGTGTCTGCTTATCCCTTTATAGCTAGCCCTCATCTTGACTGCCTGAGTGCAATTTGCCTCTATTTTTTTTCTCTCTAAGTAACAGGAGCCACAGGTTTCCTGTTACAGAAATTCAATCAGTGAATGTTCCACCGAAGTCAGTGGACTTGTACTTACACATTGGATGGTTGGGTTTGACTCCAGTGTCCTGGCAAGTTTCATAGTTGGTAGGGTCGGAAGGGACCTGAACAGATCATCAAGTCCAGCCCCCTGCCATGGGCAGGAAAGAGTACTGGGTCAAACGACCCCAGCAAGGTGTTCGTCTAACCTCCTCTTAAAGACCCCCAGGGTAGGGGGGGCCAGCACCACTTCGCTTGGAAGTTGGTTCCAGATCCTAGCCACCCTGACTGTGAAGTAGTGCCTCCTGATGTCTAGCCTGAACCTACTTTCAGTCAACTTATGGTCGGTATTCCTTGTTACTCCGGGAGGTGCTAGGGGAAACAGGGACTCTCCCATTGCCTGCTGGTCCCCCTTGGCCAGTTTATAGATGGCCACCAGATCCCCTCTCAGCCTTCTCTTGTGGAGGCTGAACAGGTTCAGGTCCCATAGCCTCTCCTCGTAGGGCCTGCCCTGTTGCCCCCTGATCATGCGAGTGACCCTCCTCTGGACCCTCTCGATGCTGGCCACATCTCTTCTGAGGTGCGGTGCCCAGAACTGGACACAGTACTCCAGCTGCGGCCTGATCAGTGTTGCATAGAGGAGGAGGAGGATCACCTCCTTGGACCTGCTTGAGATGCATCTGTGAATGCATGACAAGGTGCGGTTAGCCTTCCTGACTGCGTCCCCACATTGGCAGCCCATGTTCATCTTGGAATCGATAGTGACTCTAAGACTCTTTTCTGCCTCTGTGCTGACGAGAAGGGAGTTCCCCAGCCTGTAGGTATGCTGCTGGTTCTTCCTCCTCAGGTGCAGTACCTTGCACTTGTCAGTATTGAAACCCATCCTATTCTCAAGTGTTGGGAAGAATAAGGCTTAATGATCTCTTACTTCATTTGTGTGTATGACCTGTTACATTCAGGCCATTTGCTGTCTGTGGCCACATCCACACAAGCATGGACATTTGGTTCCCCGTGGACAACTAGCAGCGGGACACCTTGTTCCTCCGTTAGTTGTCCCCGGGGAATGCCTGTGCCGCGTGCCCTGGCATGCGGCAGGTTACCCCAGGTAGGGTAGGCTGACTCTAGCAGCTTTACCTGGGGTCCTGGGGGCCTCCTGGGGCTTGAAGCAATGGCAATTCTGCCGCTCAAGCCTGGCCAGAAGCCGAAATGTGGCTCCAGCTGGCCAGACTCAGGCTTTGAGCAGCACATGGTTTCCCTGAGTGTGCTGCTGTGGGTTTTTTTGCGTGGTGTGTGGGTTTTGGGGTTTTTTTTTTGTTTTTTAGTGGGGTTTTTTGTCCCCTGCATATCCATGGCTCAGAAAAACAAACAAACCCCCATGCTGCTCCCTTGCAGCACAGGGAACAGCTGAATGTGCAGTATGTGGCACAGCAGACATGCCTGCAGCACCACACATACTGCATGGCTGTGCTCATCTGGACACATTCTGTGTCTCCATTGTACCATGTTATAAAACCAAGGCATCAGTCCCACCCACCCTTCCACAGTAGCCCATATCCTAGCTTTTTTTCCACTCACTTTTGTCTTCTTCCTGCCAAACAGGATTAAAGCATCAGGCTGTACCTTGGGTTGCTTAGCAGTCACTTCTGTTGCTCTTAAGGAAATGCATCTTTTCATAGTGAATGCAGCGAAGAAAACACTTCCAGCAGAATAAGTTGCCTTCTCAAGCAATGCTTGCATCCCTTTGTGAGAGTTCCTAATCTATTAACTTAGTTATGGAAGAGAAGAAATAGTTGCCAAGCATTCAAAGAGCTTTCCTGTGTCTTAACTTTGTGGGTCTCTGGCCCCTACCCTAAATCAATGTATGAAAGGCAGTCTAGGATGTGATTGCCTGTGCAGGCAGTAGACTTGACTCATCCTCTGTGTAAAAAACTGAACTAGCATTCTTGCAGAGCAAAGGGCAAAGGAGGACATAAAGAGCTGTGATTTCAGGACATCTTTACCTTTATATTTGTGTTAGGGGTAAAATTCACCCTGAAACAGAGGAGCACCCATTCAGCCTCACTGTAGCTCTGCTTTATGGGTTAAATAGTCAATAGGTTTTATTTTGGAACAAATTTCAGCTCATTTGCACAGTTGAGCAAATGAGAACTCTGGACCCAGATCTCAAGTGTTTCAGAAGGGCTTTTGAAACCTGCATGGGTGGATTTCTGTAAGTACTTCATGTGTCGGTTACTCCCATTATGAAAACAAGTCTGATTCAGAATAAAATAACCAAATGGCCTGTCTTTTACAGAATTGTGCCAGATTTTGAAAGTGCATCACAGAGAACTCCTGGTAGATGTGCCAGAAGTGGTACCTTTGTGCCAAAATTTCTGGGTTGGCCTCAGATTCACCACTCCTCCCCACACCTGCTCCTCCCTACCACACCCTGTTTCTGAAGCACTAGGCAATGGCAGTGGTGTTCAACCTTTTTGGCTGGTGTGCTAGATGGGTGGTGCCCAAGCTATCCGTAGGCTGAATTTGGTATGTGGTCCCAAACTAGCACGAAGCAGACATGTCAGGGCCCCATCCAGCTGTATGGAGGGGGTCATCCCAGCTCTAACCTGGCCCTGTGCGCGTGTGGGGAGGGGGATGCTGTGGCCCAGCCCCGGTTGGGGTGGGGAGTGGCCAAGCATGGGGCTCAGGGTTTGGGGATTTTCATCAGGGGAAGATGGCTGTATTTATTGCCACCACCCCCTTGCTGCCAAATTTCCCTATCTGTGGGGAGCCCCATGGGCTGGATATCAATGGCTCCACGGGCTGCATTTGACCTGCGGGCTAGAAGTTGAGTACCCCTATCGCGTGGCATCTGCTGAGAAGAGCTAGTGAACTCTGGGTACAGCACCTCATGAATACAGCTATGCTGCTTTCAGTTTGGAAGAGCCAAGCTGTACTGCGCTTCCTGCTTGGGATACATCTGCTATCGCGAATAGACCTTTATCGCCCACAGCTCCACAGTAAGATGGTTACAATAACCAGAACCAGAAGTAGTATGGGCTGTT